TGGTATCTCCCGCCCCCCCCCCCCAACAGGGAAACTGGCGGTGGTGGGAAGATAAGGAGAAACCAAGGACAACTCCAGGGTCCCCATCAAAAACATTTAAAATATAATAGAACATAATTAAAAATGCTAATTTAAATACGTATATTATTGGTGGGATTCCTTTACCCATCAACCTAGGCCAAAGAAACTCTACCAAGGACTACCCACTCCCTGCCCCAAAAGACAGTGGTATATCCTATGCACCCCCCCCACCTAATGCATCTCCCAGTACCTGACCAAATCCCTGCCCAGTATCCCCTCTAGGGCAATGGTATCTCCCAAGACCCCCCCCCCCCCAATGGCCCCTCTTAATCCCCACCCCTACTGCCCCAGAGCAATGGTCTCTCTCAATATCCACCCCCCCCTCAGCAATGGGAACTCCCAATCTCACCCTTCACTCCCCATACAGCTCAGCAATGGTGGTTTATTCCCATGCCATTAGTATAGAGTATCTCCACCCCGACACAGCTCAGCAACCGTCTCCTCCCATACTCCATCAAGGCTAATGGTGTGTCCCAATATCCCCCGCCATAAGAATGGTAACCCCTGTACTCCCTGAACTGCCCAGAGCACCCCCTCACTACCCCCCCAATCACAGCAGTAGTATGTCCCCATATCCAACTCAGAAATGGTATCTGCTAACACCCCCTACTCAATAGTGGTAACTCCCAACCCCCCTGCTACAGAGCAATGGTATCTTCCCACACTAAGGTCAATGGTATGGTCCAAAATCCCTCCCCCACCCCATCACCCCTTACTGCATCAGAACAACCCCCAGCAACTCATAGCAATGGTATGTTCCCATCCCACCCCCCAAAACCAGTTGTATCTCCCAAAATCCCCACCGCCCCTGCAGCAAATATAACCCCCTCTGCAGCAGAATAACGCCCCCAGCCTCTCAAAGCAATGGCATGTTCTCATCCTCCCATTCAAGACAACCATGTCACCCAATACTCCCTCAAATAAGGGTGGCCCCCTATCCCCCCACTGCTTCAGAGCAATGGTATCAGCCTGCCCCCTTTTGGGATCTCCCAAAACCAGGGCAATGGTCTCCCCCTTCCTCCCCTCATATTGGAAATGGTATCATCCGCTTCCCTTGCCCCATAAAGGGATGAGGGGGTGTAGTGGTAGGGGCAGGGCCTGGGACCCCCAAAGGGGCAGGGCTAAGGCTCCAGGGGCAGGGCTTGGATTCCCAGCCGGGCTAAGAGCCCCAGAGCTGGGGCCAAGACTCCTGGGGGCAGGGCTCACCTCCTTGGCCACCCCGTGCCAGGCCACGTAGCTCTCGCACGAGTCCATCTTCTCCTGGTGCAGGAACTTGCACTTGTCGGGCACCAGCAGCGCCTCGCTTACGAACTCGCCCACTGCGGGGGGAAGAGGGCCAGCGTGGGGGAGACAGCCCAGGCATCTGGGATCCTGGTGCGGCCCGCTCCCACCCCTCTCCCCCTGCCTGGAGGACCCCGGCATCCGGGCCTTACCCAGGCAGCGGTAGGGCACAACGGTGTGGCGGTGGCCTCGGCAGCTGGGCCGCCCCTTGCGGCACCAGTTGTCGATGGTGACGGGCTCGGGGCCCTCCACCGCACTGGTGATCTGCAGCTCCGGATAGGCCTGGCGGGGAGGGTAGCGTCACCGCAGGGGAGAGGCACGCAGCAGCCTCCCCGCCCCTGGTTTTGGCAGGATGGGCCAGTCCAATATAGCCACCAGCAGGCACCATGGGGCGTTAGGGCCATAGGGAGTGAGGGGAGCAATGGGACAGGCCAACATGACTGCCATGGGGGGCAGAATGGGTTGGTCAAACATAGCTGCCATTGGGCGCCAAGGGAGAATGGTCCATCACGGCCATGGGTGGTGCTGGGGGGAACAATGGGACAGTCCAATATGGCCACCATTAGGGGGCCAGAATGCGTCAGTCGAGCATGGTCGCCATGATGGGGGGCAGTGATGGAATGATCCACCATGGCCACGGGATCACGGTCCCTCGTGGAGGCCACGGGGGGCCCAACACGGCCAAGGGGACAATCCTGCGCAGGGGTGGAAGAGTGCAATCAGGCTGTCCCGGGAGGGGGAAGGGGGCGGAGGTCAGGGGGCACCCACCTGCTGGCAGTAGGCCAGGGCCTGGCGGGCGGAGCTGAGGCAGTGGGGGGCGGGGCCGGGCCCAGGAGCCCAGCGCCCCGTGTCCAGGTCCAGGCGCAGAGCTGGCTTCCCGCACAGCCCAGCCACCTGTGGTGATGCGCCCTGTGGCAAGGGGCGGGGTCAGTACCACAGGCCCCGCCCCCACCATCCCTTGTGCAATGGGAGGGTCCTAGGCCCCATCGCAGGCCACCCTGTGGTATCACCCACCCGCAGCACAGGGGTCTGTCAATGGTATCATCCTACATGGTCCCCACTCCTCTGCCAGTAAAATGGTCCCTCCCAGGTGCCCCCTCCCTCCACAGCAATGGTCTCTCCCAACACCTCTCGGGGTTGGGGGGGGTCGGGAGTGAGGGGCACCGGCGGGGGGGGGGGGG